CTAAATGTAATAGTTAAATTAAAACAAATTAAAAATTAAATGACTAAATAAAAACAAAATGAAAAAACAGGTTTGTGACTAAAATACAAAAACACGCTGAAATTGTAGTGGCTAAAAATAATTATCCATTTTTAACCTAAAATACACTATTAAATAAAATGAACAAGTTACTAAATTAGTCCAACATAGTTAAAATAAAATTAAATAATTACTACATATTACCATAATGCAAAAATATGCTTAAAGTAAGAGGACTAAAAAGCGAATATACCAATAAATATATAACATGCATGAAAAAGGGGTAAATAACAAGTTTGGTCCTCATAGGTGACCAAAGTGCAAAAACGTGCTAAATATAGAGGGATTAAACATAAAATAACCCAATAAATATATAACATGTGTCAAAAAGGAGGAAATAACAATTTTGGTCCTCTCAAGTGACTAAAGTGCAAAAACGCGCTAAACCTAGGGGACTTAAAGAGAATTTACCCAAAGCTTTCTCTATAAAATACATTATTTTTTTCATTTTAAACTGAAAAATTTTAAAAAAAAACCTCTCAACTCTCTCCTCTCTCTCCGCCGACCCTTTGCCGGCCACCTCACGCCGTCAGTTCGACCACCGTTCCGACCACCACACACAATGGCCAAAGTTCCTAAATCTAATTCAAAATAACCCAAAAATCTCAAACTACTACCTTAAACCCCGATCTGGGGTTAAAATTACTTAATAACACCCCAAAGCACAAAAAAAACCACGACGTTTCGGCTTTCTCTACCTCCGGCCACAGCGAGGATGAACTACCCCTCATTTTGACTCCCCTCAGGTAACTCTTCTCCTTCCCTCTATTTTCGTAAATAAAATAGATTTATTTATTTTTTCGAAACTATGAAAAAGAAAAAAAAGGAAAAGGATTTACCTTTAAAACTTTTATATTGCTTTCTCGAAGAAAAAAAATGGAATCCCTTTTTAAAACTCGACTTTCGGGTTTTATACCCAGATTTTTACAGAGATTAAAATAAAAAAAATACAACTGATAACCTAATCTCTACTGTTTTTTGACATTCTGCAAGGTTGTTGATGATGAATGTATGTGGCAGGGAGTGGCCTCCCACTAGGGTAAGCTAACTGCCTCGATTTTTCTTTTTTTTTTTTTTGTGTTTTTTTCTTTATTTGTCGTTGTTAAACTCGATTTTGATGGGAAGTAATGGTGACTGAGGTTGTTGGCTTCTTGGTAGATTTTGTCACGGTGGCTGGAGCAGCAGTCGGTGGCAGTGGTTGAGATCCTGGTTGGCGATGGTGGCTGGCCTAAGGAGATAACACATTAGGGTTTGAAAAAACCTAATAAGCTCTCATTTGGACCGTTAGATGAACTTGAATCTAACGGTTGTGGTTCTTGGCAGCTGAGGAGAAAACACAAAATCCTAGTCTCAGTGGGCCTCCTCTTGTGGGCTTTAGATGTTGGTTTAATTTGGGCCCGGATTTGGTTTGGGTAGTGTAAATGGGTTTGTAATAAATAAATAATAATAATAGTAATATTTATAATAATAATAATAAATAATAATAATATATAATAATAAATATATATATGAGAGTTGAAAAATGGTGATTATAACCTCAATGGTTAAAGGGACTATCGTTCTCTTTTAATGTCTTGAGTTAAGTAATTATATTATAAAGTGTGTATATATTATCAATAATTTAAAAAATTATGAACAAATATTACTTTATAAATATCATGTCCATGTACTATTTAAAAAATATATCATATGTCGTACTCTAGCATTTCTGCCTCATTCTGCCTCTTGGAGGTACTGATATCAACAATATCCATCTTGGATGGAAGCTATTTATATATAAATACACACATGTAAACACGGTATCTACATTGAAATTTGATGAATACATATTTTAGTATTTAAACACAATTTTAAGATTGAATTTGATAATTAAATTTTAAATATTTAATTAAAGTTTGTTGGGTTTAAATTGGTATGTAAATTTGATTTTATACTTTAAAATGATTCAGATAAATAATGTATTATTACTATTAATCTAAATTAAAAAATTACTTTTAATAATTTAAAGTGATTATAATATAGTATCTATTCATAATTTTTTAGTCATTAACAACACACACTTTGTAGATACAACTGCAAGAATTTAGGTTTTTTTTATAAATTATATTATTTTCTTTTACCAAGAATTCATTTAAATAATTATTTTTATAAATTTTATAAATGTAAACTCGAAAGCTGTTTTGTATGTGTGTTAGAGAAATGAGATTTAAGCCTATGCCATCTGAAATTTTTGTTACTTTGGTAAAGGAAAATATACAACAATATTTAATAGTGGATGGATACTATAGTTTTAGTATACCACTATCGGGTTAATTTAAGTGATAAATATTTTGATATCGTTAAAAAAAATCTCATGTTCAAATCTTTGTATATTTAAAAAAATTTCAATAGGAAATTCATTCATCAAAATCAGATGTCTAATCTGAATCAATTTAAATTAACTAGGATACGGGCAAAAAAAGTATACCATCTAATTTTGAGGGTAAAAAAATAATAATTTAAAGTAAAAAGAAACAGTAAGAAGACAATGATTATTATTCAATGTGTCATATGGTGCTGTTTTCAACGGAGTCTTTTATGTCTTTTGTTTTTACACGTTGCCTTTCCGAGTTGACGGAGAAAACTTTGGCAGACCCAATGAACACGCCAGAGTTTTTTTTTATAATAAATCTAATATAAATATAAAGAATCATTTATTCAAAAAAAATCAGTTACACATTATTTCGATGATAAAAAAATTATTATTTTTATTTAAAACTCGAGAGTTAAATATTATGAATGAGTTGTGAGTGTTTAATATCAAATAATTAAATATTATCTTTAAACAAATATTATCTTATACTTATCCCTAATTAATTCAAATAATTCTTAATGAATTAATAATAAACATTCATAATGAGATTCCCCCTCCCGTTCCAACTTCTCGCCTTGACTGATCTGGATCGATCCGAGTTGCACACAAAATTTTTGTGGGTGTGTCTTCCAACAGAAATTTTCTACATACATAAAAAATCAAACATAATACTTTTCTTAAACGATATCACACTATTTATTTCTTCAACCAGCCAATGTTGATTTATAATGAGAATATTTTAGTTTCTTTTCAAACCTATATTTCTTGGTTGGTACTAATTAAACCTATATCTCTTTTCAAACATTTAAACTTGATGATATTACGCTTTTAAGCTTCATATAACCTATGGCTTCTAAAAAATACTAAAGCATCAACTGTATCAATTAATTAAACTCAGTTAACATATATTTAGTTTTCATAATTAAGCTATAATAAAAATGAAATAATTTCATTCTTAAGTCTTAACTTCATTTTATTGCTAAAAAAAATCTTGCCACTTGGTCTTTATTTAATACGAAAAAAATCAACAAAATATTGTCTCTATTCCAAAGCTTCACCCTGATTAATCTGGACCGAACTGAGTTGCACACCTAATTTTGGTGGATAAGTCTCTCAACGGAAAATTCTTGTATACACAAGGACTCGAATCTGAGAACTTGCTTAAGCGATATAAACTACTTACCACTTGAACCAATCTCGTTAGTATATATATTGTATTATTGTTTAATCTTAAGATGAATTGAAAATATAAATTTGAATTTTTATCAAAAACTAATTATATTTATAAATAACTAATTGAAGTTCATATAGATCTCTCTAAGTTTTATCTTTTAATTTTTATTCTAATAATTATATTTACTTGATATTTAGAAATTTCATTTATTTTTAACAGGTTTTAAGCACACGCAACTTAACAACAACAACAACAAAACCTATTCCCATATGTAATGGGGTAAGGGGGAGGTGGGGTAGTAGGTTGCTCCCAACACCAGATTGAGAGCAGGTTCCGTGGAAGACCTCCGGCAGTAAGATAATTAAAAATAAAGATAAAATACAATGCATGCATAAATAAATCAATAAATACAAAGTTTAACAGTCTTCATATGCAGTCTTTAAGCACATGCAACTTAACTTATCTTTTAATATTTATGATAGAGTATAATATTTTTATTTTTTCAAATTATAGAAATTACATAATATAGAAAAACCTAACATATTACACAAACTCTAGATTTATCAAATATATTTTTGACATGAGAATATATTGTTAATTGAAATTATATTTCTTTACTTGTTCGAGTCGTTGTATGCAGAAATCCTCTGCTAGAAGATTTATCTATCAAAACCAGATATACGATCAGAATTAATTAAAACGAAACTTTGAGAATATTAAGACGACAACTAAAAAAAAGTTATTTTTTACCTTTTCGAGTTTGTATTCTATTTATTACATTAAAAGCGTGACAAATTTATACACTGTGAATGAATAATATGATATCATATATTAGTAAAGTTAATCAACTATTAAAAGTTTTAATTATTTATATTTATTTTTTAATAATTATTATTTATATTTAATTTTAAATGTACTTTCTGATGTCACAATGAATTTGTATTAATTATTACTAATACTAATCTATAAAAAGGGTAAACTTCACGTTTAGTACATAATATTGTTTTCGTTCTATTTTAGTCATCTAATTATTATTTTTAAATAATACCTAACATTACGTTTTGAGTTCATTTTAGTCATGTACCATTAAAAAATTAATAAAACTATTGACATAGTATTTTTCACTTATAAGTTTTTAACAATGGGTGACCAAAATGAAATAAAAACTAAACGTTAGACATGTTTTAAAAAAATAACTGAATGACCAAAACTAAACAAAAGTGAAAGATGTGATACTAAATGTGAAATTTACCAAACAAAAATCATGGTTTTCTCTCGTACAAAATACAACATATAAATAGATCTCTCCCCCTTGCATATTCTCCTGCAATATTGTCCTTTTTCTTCCCTTCATTTTCTTTCTGCATCTCTCCGCGTTGTTATCTTTTTACATCAATGAGAGGCGATTCTCTACCCACACACCAGCGGCGGTGGGCCTCGGATACCGTTCCCTCCAATACCACACTCAGCTCACCAGCGTCGCCGGCCATCGAATCCAACTCGGCCGAGGAGTTTGTTGAGGTCACCCTCGATCTCCAAGACGATGACACCATCGTACTCCGAAGCGTCGAGCCGGCCACCGCCATCAGCGTCGATGGCGGAGCCGATACTCCGGCATCCTCCTCGACATCCGTTTCTCGATCGTCGACGTTCAAGCGGAGCTCTTCGAACAGACTGCGACAGTTTTCGCAGGAGCTGAAAGCCGAAGCCGTGGCGAAAGCGAAGCAGTTCTCACAAGAGTTAAAAGCCGAACTGCGGCGGAAGTTCTCATGGGGCCACGGACACGCCGGTCAGGCAATCGCCGGATTCGATTCGGCTTTAACCGCTCGGGCTCTAAGAAAGCAGCGCGCTCAGCTCGACCGGACCCGGTCCGGCGCCGAAAAAGCCCTCCGCGGCTTAAGATTCATGAGTAACAATAAAGCCAATGCATGGAAAGAAGTCGAAAACAATTTCAACAAACTCGCCGAAGACGGTTTTCTCTTCCGTTCCGATTTCGCTCAATGCATAGGTTCCTCATTCCATCATTACATTTTCTTACGAAAAAGTCCCTTCACTATGCTTTTTTGTTAATTTAACCCTCTTTACTATACTTTCATTTCTAATCAACTTATTTTCTAAAATGTGTAGTTCTATACGAAATTAAACGACTGGAGATAATATCAAATTGCAATAGAGAGACAAAAACTACGACAAAAAACATATAGTAGGGGGACTAACTACGAAATTTGACCATTTTTCTCAAACACGATTTACTGTTTTTGTGAAGGAATGGAGGAGTCGAAGGAATTTGCGTCGGAGATATTCGATGCACTGAGTAGACGGAGAAGATTAAAAGTTGAAAAAATCAACAGAGATGAACTTCATGAATATTGGTCTCAAATCACAGATCAAAGCTTTGATTCTCGTCTCCAGATCTTCTTCGACATGTGAGAACTATTAAACTAATACTTAATCAAGCTTTTCTTCTTTTAATTGTGTTAAAGACACTCTCTGTCCCTTTTTTTTTAGATCGGAAACAATAAAAGTTGGAGAAAATCGTCTTTTTAAGCGACTTTCCTTTTTTAATGTGTTGGAATTTATTTTACAGGGTGGACAAGAATGAAGATGGCAGAATAACCGAGGCTGAAGTGAAAGAGGTATATATATGCAAAATGTTAAAAAAATAAGTGTGATTAAATAATTATTTTAGTTTTTATTATTTTTAAATTATTTTAGCCCCAACATTTTATTTTTGATAAAAAGATTCTTTTATAGATGAAAATCGTTAGTTAGTAAATGATTAACGCTAAAAAATAATGATATTTTTATCCTAAAATAAAACAAAGTGCCAAAATGCTCAAAAAAAGAATAAAAATAAAAATAACTATTTGATCAAACATTGAGTGTCTTTTTGTACTAAAAAGAAATATTATGTCAAAATGCTTCGGAAAAAAAGGAGTCAAATGAATATTTTGATAAATATTGAGGACTAATTTTGACATTATACCATATATATAATGGATTAGGCAGGTACATTAATTCATTAATCAAGCATGCATGAATGATGAATTAGCGGGGACTAATTTAAATTTTTTAAACATTGGGGACTAATTTTGGCATTATACCACTACTTTATATTATAAAGGTTGTCATTTGGGTTATCATAATCAACGTTAGGCGGGGATTGGGTGGTAAATCACAATAATTTTTTCTTTCAAAAATTAACTACTCCAATAAAATAAATAAACCATTTATTCATTCAACAATGTACTGTTTCATAATGTTTTGGGTAAATTACACATTTAGTATCCCAACTATCACTTATGATTCGTTTTGGTTATCTAACTATTTTTTTAAATATACAACGTTCAGTTTTTGTTTCATTTTGGTCACCCGTGTTTAGAAATAATGGTGATGTTGACATATCATCATAAGATAATGTCGTGTCATCATTGTGAAATATGAAAATAGCACATCAATAGTTTTTCTAATTTTTTTAACGGCGGGTGACCAAAATGAAACCGAAACATATCATTAGGTGATAATTGGGGTACTAAACATATAGTTTACCCAATTGCCCTAATTTTTTAATTCTACATTTGATCCCAAACCCTCAACTAATATGTTGACATTATGTGTCTAAATCTACTGAAACCTGTAATCGTCACAAGTTTGTTCTATCATTGACTCTAATTAAAACTAGCAGTGAATCGACATTTGTTTATGTCATTCAGTGAAGTTGGTGGGGGCATTTAGATATATAAATAATTTTAGTTTTGATTTTAATTAGTGTTATTTTTATTTTGGTTTGTACAGATAATCATGCTTAGTGCTTCGGCAAACAAGCTATCGAGATTGAAGGAGCAGGCAGAAGAATACGCAGCTCTGATCATGGAGGAGTTGGACCCTGAAAGACTTGGATACATTGAGGTGGGCCCATTTCCATCACCAAATTAATCTCCCCTTCTTTAATCATGGAAGAGTCGCTAATTTGGACTTTTTTCACCCAAAGTCTCCAGAGTCAAATCTTCATACAATCTGGTTCTTGTTTTGTTCAACTGCAACGAACAAGTATAATGTCAAAATTATCCTCCAAAATTTATCAAAATGATCGATTTGATCCTCATTCTTTTTTCGGAGCATTTTGGCCACGACGTTTCGTTTTGGAGCAAAAAAGTTCCATCCACAGTTGAAAATCATTGGTTAAGAAACAGTTAATGCTTCATAAAGGGGCCATTTTACTTTAAAATGAAACATTAGAGGATCAAAATGCTCCATAAAAAGATAAGGATGAAAGGGATTATTTAATCAAATGTTAAGTGCATTTTATTCTTAACATAAAATGTTGGATGCCAAAATTCTAAAAATAACATGTATCAAAATAACCATTTTGATAAATGTTGGGGGCTAATTTAGGTGTTATGCCAAACAAAAACGAACATTTTACTGGAATCGGACTAAGAAACTTGAATTCTATACACAGAAAAGTTAATTGAATTACTTCTTATCCGTGATAAATATTAGTACAACCATAGATCGGTTACTGTATGCTGCATTTTCCATTTTAGTATATCAAATGACAGGATTTTCTTGTCAATAATTGCTGCATCTAATTTTCAGTTTCACCAAGTTTACTAGTCTTTTGCTTTAATGATGCAGCTATGGCAGCTGGAGACGCTTCTCTTGCAAAAGGACACATATCTGGGCTATAGTCAAGCCCTAAGCTACACAAGCCAAGCCCTTAGCCAAAACTTACAGGGATTAAGAAACAAGTGCGGGATCAGAAGAATGGGGACTAAACTTTTGTACTATCTGGAAGAGAATTGGAAGAGGATATGGGTGTTGTCACTGTGGATTATGATCATGATAGGGCTCTTCACTTGGAAGTTCTTTCAATACAAGCACAAGAGTGCTTTTGTAGTCATGCGTTCTTGCGTCGCCACGGCCAAAGGAGCCGCCGAGACCCTCAAGTTTAACATGGCTCTGATTCTGTTGCCGGTCTGCCGGAACACCATTACTTGGCTCAGGTCCACCAGGTTGGGTCTCTGGGTGCCTTTCGACGACAACATCAACTTTCACAAGGTATGTTACCACTACCAGTATACAAGCTCTTTTTTGAACTGCCATGCATTCAAGTGGTTATATAATAGTTTGAGAGTTGTTCATGATTCCATTTCAATTTGGATTTGTACAGACAATAGCAGCAGCAATTGTTATTGGAGTCATTCTCCATGCTGGTAACCATCTTGCCTGTGATTTTCCGAGGCTAATCCACTCGTCTACCGATGACTATAGACTCTACCTCCGTGATTTCGGAAATCGTAAACCGACATACATGGACCTGGTAAAGGGACCCGAAGGGGTGACGGGAATTTTAATGGTTATCTTCATGGCAATAGCATTTACACTAGCAACAAAATGGTTTAGGAGGAACCTGATTAAGCTGCCCAAGCCCTTTGATAGAATAACTGGCTTCAATGCTTTCTGGTACTCACACCACCTGTTTGTCATCGTCTACATCTTGCTCGTCATCCATGGCGTCTTCCTTTATCTCGTGCACATATGGTATCGTAAGACGGTACACATTTAAATCTTTTTCATCTCTCAGGTGATTTCACAAGTTCTAACAACAGGATTTTGTTTTATTTAGTAACTGTTTCATGGTTGCAGACCTGGATGTACGTAGCAGTTCCAGTTGTGTTATATGTTGGAGAAAGGACCCTGAGATTTTTCCGCTCTGGTTTCGATACTGTTCGGCTTTTGAAGGTAAACATAACACTTCCAAGTACGAACAAGTACAGACAACTAACTTAGGAAGAACAAACTCGAATTTGGCTGCTGAGTATTTTGACTAATGATCTTATACCTTACGTGCTCAATAGGTTGCAATTTATCCAGGAGGTGTTCTCACATTACAAATGTCTAAGCCGCCTCAATTTCGGTACAAGAGTGGACAGTACATGTTTGTGCAGTGCCCTGCGGTCTCCCCCTTTGAGTGGTAAGTAAAATAGTTGCAGTCATCCATACGCAAAGTTTTTCTCAACACATGAGCTTTTATTCTGTACCAGGCATCCATTCTCTATAACCTCTGCTCCCAGTGACGACTACCTTAGCGTTCATATCCGTCAGCTAGGCGACTGGACGCAAGAGCTCAAACGCATATTTTCGGAGGTTTGTGAACTTCCTGTTGCCGGGAAAAGCGGACTTCTCAGAGCAGATGAATCGTCGAAGAAAAGGTGTTTATATTTAGTTTCAAGTAGTATGTTCAAGATTTTCACTCTTGTTTTAGAAGAGTTCAAGTTGTGTAGGAATTATTGAGTAATTTTTGGATCATTAACGTTGTTCTCCTAAGAGCAGTTTCCCAAAGCTCTTAATCGATGGGCCATATGGAGCTCCAGCTCAAGACTATCACAAGTATGATGTACTGCTACTGGTAGGCCTAGGAATTGGTGCAACACCATTCATCAGCATTTTGAAAGATCTGCTTAACAACATTGTCAAAATGGAGGAGCAGGCGGTAAGTAATTCGGTGCATAACGTCGGTTGAATCGCACTCTCTCATCGTTTCCTTATCAGATTCACAATAATGCATCTTTATTTTCAGGATTTGGCCACAGATATCAGCAGGACATCAGACCAAAGTAATGGGAGCAATGAATCAACCGCTCCCAATAGAGCCTTGGCCAAACGAAAGAGAGCTCTTAAGACGACCAATGCTTACTTTTATTGGGTAACCAGAGAGCAAGGTTCATTCGATTGGTTCAAAGGAGTAATGGATGAAGTTGCAGATCTCGATCAAAGGGTAAACGAACTAATCAACTCATTTTCATTGTGCTGCGTCGTGCCTATGAGTCGATATTATTCTCTTTGGGTGGATACACAAAGAGTACCATACCGACTTATAGACACGACATCAACATGATCGATGTTCGAATCGAGCGTATCCGGCCTGTCAACCAGTCATGATGGAATACCTTAAGAATTACTGACTTCCGACTTTGAACACTAGGGGGTGATTGAAATGCACAACTATTTGACAAGCGTGTACGAGGAAGGAGACGCACGTTCGGCTCTCATCACCATGGTACAAGCACTAAACCATGCCAAGAATGGCGTCGACATTGTTTCGGGCACCAGGGTAAGCTCCTTTTGTGCCTGCCGTTTTCATTCTCTCAGCATATAATCCAAAATCTCCATGATGAAACATTGCAATCATAAATTCCATGGCTGGCCATTTATTTTTACTTTTTTTTTGAAAATAAAGAGAATTTCATTCATTCAACAATACCTTCGAGAATTACATCGTGTTTAATACATTCTGGTTCACCAAAATCAAACTATTGGCATTTATCATTATCAGGTACGGACCCATTTTGCAAGGCCTAAATGGAAGAATGTCCTCTCCAAACTAAGTTCCAAGCACTGCAACGCAAGGATAGGTGAGGCCCCATACTATTTTAATTAGGGTAAACTACATTTTAGTAACTAAATACTTTTATTCCTTTTTAGTACCTAAACTTTATTTTTTTTCTTCAAAATCATACCTATGATGTGGAATTAACTTATAGTGACATGTCAATACAACCGTTAAGTTTTAAACGGCGGGTACCAAAATGAAACCAAAACTAGAAGTTAATTATGCTTTTGAAACAAAATAAAGTTTAGGTACTAAATTTGCAGTTTACCCTCTTAATTAATCAAATTAAAGTGACAATATTATATTGTATATTCTAATATTGGTGTTGCGTTGGTGGTGCAGGAGTCTTTTACTGTGGGGCACCTGTTTTGGCAAAAGAACTCAGCAAGCTCTGCCATGAGTTCAACCAAAAAGGATCCACTAAATTTGAATTCCACAAGGAGCATTTCTAATGAGAAATTAAATGTGGATAGAGCAAATAGAAACCCTAACTACTTTCTCTATAACTAGAGAAACAAGAATTATTTACATTATCAATACAAGAAAGCAGGAGTTTTGTACAGCCTTGGAAAAGAACAGAACAGAAAAGCAATGCAGTTGAATTAGGTGCATGGATGAATACCCAGCCCACAAATAAAAGAAAGGAAATGGCTTGGAATCATTTGATCGATGGGCATGAGGGCGGTGCAATTGTAATCAAGGATGGACCAAGGAGGGAGCCGGTGACTGACGATGAAGATTTCAAGCTGCTAGTACATTATGTAGCATATAGGAATATTCATTACTTTTGTTTACAATAAGGACTAGATTGTCACGTTAAATGTTTATTATTCACACTTGAAATCTTGGAGTTAATTACTTTTGTATTAACTCCAGGACTAGAATACACCCCACTTGAATATGTATTAACTCCAAGACTAAACTAGGAAAATCATTTGATCAATGGGCATGAGTGCGGTGCAATTGTAGTCTTGGAGTTAATACATAAAGTGGGGGTGTATTCTACTTTGCAAATGTAAATGAGTACCATCCTTTATGTAACAATTCAGGTTTGATTTCTGTCAAGTTTATGTTTTTAACTTTTATAAACGAGATTAAATTGTTTATATCACTCATTATTGTTTGGTTTAGGGTTAATATAAAAAAAAGGATTAATACACTTTTAAGTGTCTAAACTATATTCTGAATTGACTTTTTTTCCGCTAAAAATAGTGCCTAAAGTTTTCAACGTTGTACTTTTAGGTACCTGGTCCGTAACGACTATTAAATTTAGACATTATCTAACACGTGTCAGCGATATAAAATTTCATTTTTTTTAAAAAAAACTAAAAATGGGTGTTTGTAGCGATTGGAGATAGAGAGAACGACGCGACTTTTACGGCTTTCCGACGAACGACAAACGATGTGGGTGAAAGATGATGGTCAGGATTTGGTAGCGGGACGATGGCGAACTCAGGGGTGACGGTGAACGCTATGGATGGCTAGTAAAGGGTGGTCGACATGTGGCGACGGGGGAGGAGGGTCATGACGTGGGGATGGAGTTTTGATTTTTTTAATTTTTTCTTTTTTAAATAATATTTTTATTAATAAAAAAAATATAACGATAGACAACTAAAAATGTAACATAAAAAATGTTAGACACCTATTTTTAGCAAAAAATTATTTAGGAACCAAAAATCAATTTGGAGTATAGCTTAGGCACTTAAAAGTGTATTAAGCCTAAGGGTGCGTTTGGTTCACGGAATGTAAGATTACCAGTGGGAATAAAAGATTACCAAGAATATGTTTACTGGGAATATTACATTACTGTGTTTGGTTGGTTTGGCAGGAATGTAAGATTACAGTGTTTGGTTGAAGGAATAAAAGATTACTGGAATGTATATTTTACCAAATTGTCCTTGTTCTATATTTGATAACAAGTTAAATTCTAAATGTTTAAATAAAAATTATTTATATAAAAATTCTATTTGTTAATAATATATTACTTGAGTATTTAAATATATCATGTATTATTTTAATTTTAATTAATATTAAATTTTACATAATTTATGTAAAAATATATTAAAATTTTACATCAACATTTAACTAAATGTTTACATTGTGGAAACTAGCTTTGGTTCATACATGACGCATTCACTGGGAGGTTTCTTATATTTTCCCACCGACAAGGTTTACATTCTTCTATATACAATAATTTATCATAGATATTCATAATAATAAAAAGATGTAAATTATTTTTGTTATCTAAGATATAATATTTATTATATCTTATATATACAGTAATTTATTTATTTATCTTTTATATTTATACTTAATTATGCATACTTTATCATTATTATTTATCTCATGAATTTATATTACAAAAACATAATTCTAATAAGTAAGAAAATATAACACTAAAAATCATATTGTCTATAATTTTATATTTCTTTATTCTCTTCCACTGCCGGTTAAATTCCCTCTAATTTTAAATAAATTATAGTAAGTTTAGAAGTATATTAAGCATGGCATGTTGTTCCACTGAAATACAATTGCATAATATTCTCTCTTTTTAATCCAAATGAACCTGGATTTTTATATAAAAACCATAAAAATATGAGTTGGAGAGACGTATAACATAGGGTTCAATTTCCTTCCAAATGTCATGGAAATTTATATCATTCGATGGTTTAAGCCCAAGATGACATAATCCAGACACAAAATTTCTCAAAAAGTGAATACTTATCGGAAGACAGAGTCCCTTCACATCTACTACCAGAGCATGCAAGGACATTTTATTGGATGAGGCATCCATGTTCAACCTTACACCTGAAGGATCAGCTGCAGCACAAGGAAAAATTGCAGTATCTTATAAGTAATTCAAATTTCCCAACCAATCTAATACATGTCAAAAGAAATTTTCCCAAAGCGGGATCTTCACTAGGCAATTACCACGACCATGTGAAGAAGAGAGAAAAGGATGTAGTGGAAGGTCATCAAAAGTGCAGCAAACTAGTTGTCATAAAACATAATTAGCCATTAGGTACCTGCTTCAGATCCTTACAACTCAAGTGAAGAGGACTTAGGTAACCGGGTTCAAATGACAACATTTGGGAGTGAAATGGAACACAAAGAAAGAGTTTGGAGCAAGGCATTGCAGCAGTCCTTCTACAATAATCCCTAGTATTTTGAAGCAAGGGCACTGCAGTGACCCACTTGCTGTCAAAACTTCAATGCCTCAGCACTGCAGTACCCGTATCAAATGCTCCAGCCAACAATGACATCTCTATCCCTAAATTTTCTAAATCTAAAAGTTCTATGTTTCCTAATTTGACATTATTTTTATCCTTTATTATTAAAATTATTTTTAACTGCCATGTCTTGTTATACCAGTATCCTAATGTTTTAGCAATCTTGTGTCCTTGTGTCTGTGTAGTCTTGCACCCATATTGTGTGTCCATGTTCAATCTATTATATTTGAATGCACACTTTTAATATATAGACTTAAGATGGCTACTACAATTATCATCATTCATCCAAGTAGTAAGGCTAGGGAAAAAAATAGCTTACAAACATAATTTGACATTTACTTGAGCATTGTTACTGAGAGATCTCTGCAAGCATGGAGGCCAGCCAGAACTAAGGAACTCCCATTTCCTGCCAAGCCAAGTTCAAGATCTTGCTCAATTGATTTTGGCTGCTCAACATCAGCTTCATGCGGCGACAAGGTGGTCAAGGGTTTCAATGTTTCCTGGGACATTATGTTGCATGTAATTGTTTGGTGCACGTTTAATCTCTTTTTTCCTAATCTAACAGAAAAATGTGCAATCTGTCAACAAGTGTAAGGCTTGTCAAAGTAGAGGTTCAATTAACTTGAAAGTGTAATTGTGACAATGAAATCCACGTAAATGTTAAAAAAATAAAGGAAGTTGACTCCCTAACATACCCAAGTTAAAAAAATAAAGTGTAATTGTGACAAAGAAATACCATTCTATTGTTCCCTTCTACGTTGCCAAATTAAAACAGAAATGTGAAGTGAAACAGAATTTTGCTCAATTCAGATCAACCTCCTTTGACCCTTCCCCTAGTTCCTCCAAATTGTTGTTAGATCCTGGCTATGTTTCATATCAACATAACTTATGTTACATAATTGACATTTATTGTCATCGAGAACCAAGAATCACATAATTTCAAATTCTAGAACTGAATAGAGTCATCAAGATAGGCAAGGGAAAGGGAAATTGCATTGCCTGAACTCGAATCAAAGTCCGACATATAATCGAGTTTTTGCAAACTATGCTAGCTGGAATACAAAATTCGGACTTCGGACTAAAGCACATATTTATGCTAAATTTATGCATCTAAAAGCAAAGATTGAAATTTGCATCAAAAAGCAACCTTTTTCGTAGATTATCATCCAAAAAAATCCATTTTTATATTGGAAGCAAACAATCTAAAAAATACAGAGAGCTAAAAGAGACCACTTGAATCAGCCCCCTCAATCAATTATTTTCTATGGACAAGAACCAAATAGAGAAACAATAAAATCCCACAGAAATCAACGAAGCTACTAATAAAACTAAAAAAAATGATCTCATAGCGAAATATTCTCAAATTTGTAGAAACTGAATGAGTTCATTGAGATAATTTACTCAAAGAACTTAAAAGACAACCATGTATAACTTCAGTAAAATTTTCCAATCAACCAAACAAATGATGAAAACAATAAGAAATCAACCAATAAGCTTTAAAAACCGAATCCACAGATTTAACGACCTTTCATTTCGAATAGCAAGGTTGAGGAGAAGAAAAGAAAGGTAAAGATAAAGTTTCTCTCATTGCTAGGAAAATAAAAGAAAGGGAGTGAAGAAGAAATCTTACAAGTAGAATCTCAATGGAAAAAGATGAATTTTTTGCAGAGGCAAACTCACGGGAGAAGAAGATGTCGTAGAAATAAGCTCACGGGAAAAGAAGGGTATTTTAGCCCTTAGCACCGGGAATAATAAAATACCTAAGACATATGTGGGAATAACATTCCTGGAATAAACACACTAAAAATTACTGTTGGTATTAAATTATTACCCTCACTTGGGAATCTTACCCAACCAAACATGGGTATCCATAACCAGGAAAAAAATATGCCTGTTGGGAATGAACAAATCCTTGATCCAAACGGATCCTAAATGCCTAAACTATACTCAAAATTGATTTTTGGCGCCTAAAGAAATTTTAATAGATGCCTAATGTTTTCTCCATTACACTTTTAGGTTATTATCATTAAAAACTCGTTAAGTGACACGTGTCACGTTCAGATTTTTTTAAAAAGAAATATTTTTAATATAATATTTTATTTTTTTTAAAAATAAAAAATATAAATGAGACATGTGTCACTTAACGATTTTTTAACAGTAGGTACCTAAAACTGTAATGAAGAAAACATTAGACACTAATTTTTAATAAAAATTCTCTAGACACCAAAAATCAATTTTGATATACTATAAATATTTATTTTTTTATTAAGCCTTTGATTTAATGGTTAAATATTCCTTTGAACTTTTATTAAAAATTCAATCAAGTCCCTTTGTAAAACATAGACTTAAACAAGTCTTTAAACTTAAAAATTATACTCCCTCTATCGCATTAAAT